GCTCTCTGTGGGATGTTCTGGATGAGCCAGGGTCAGAGTTAGGGACCGCACAACCTCTGTGAGTACCTGCCTTTAAAGAACTCTTGGGGGTGGGTGGTGACTTAGCAGTGAAACTAGGGAAAGTTCAGTCTATTGCCAAAGGGTGAGAATACTTACCATTTTTTTAAGATTGTTATGATCATAACTCAGTGCAAAGATTAGGTTACTTTTTTAACCTCATCCTTTTGTGTTTTTATGGAGACTTCCTTTCATAGGCATGATTGAGTAAACCACTGACCACTGGCATTGATTCACCCTTCAGCCCCTCTTCTCTCCTTGGACGCCAGGCGGCGGGACTGAAAGTTCCAACCCTCTAGTCGCTTGCTTGATTCTAGCAGTCAGTTCCTACTCTTAGGTTCCTGGGGAAGGCAGAGGGGCAAAAATCATTTCGTTAATATAATGAAACATATCTTTGTGCTCTCATCACTTATGAAATCCCAAGGATTTTAGGAGCTCTGTGCCAGAAATGAGCAAGATGATGTATATATTTCTTACTATAAATCACAATATCATGATTTCCTTTCAGCAAATATTTTAACCATCTACATGTAGATGATGAATTTTCTTTTAAGGCAAGGGCTGTTTAATACATATTTTAGTTACTGTGTGCATGGATTTCTATAGGTATGCTTTTATTATCGATTTTATAATTTCAGAACATTGTAGAAAAAGAACATAGTCTATATGATATTGAATCTTTGAAATTTATTTTGATACTTTCTTTGAGAATTAGTCTATTAAGGACATTTGTGAATTTGTCATATGTACTAGAAAATAATGTGTAGTTTCTCTGACATGTAAGGTCCTTCTCTTTGAGATTTTGTATATGGGTAACTATATGTGAAATATTACTATGCAACTTTCCTATTTATTATAAAGTTTTTTCTACTTTCATGTCTTTTTTATTTGAGTTCATTATTGCCAGTACATCTCTTTCAATCCTTTCTTTTACTCTTTCTGTGTCTCTTTGATTTAAATTTCTTTATTATAGGTAGCTTATTCTTGAATTTTGGTGTTTAATAGAAATCCTTCTTTACTTGATTAAATTAGTAGAGATTTATCATCATTACTTTTGTAGTAGAGCTTACTTCTGATCTCTTATATCATGCATTCTATTTAATGTACTTTTAAAACTACTTCTTTCTTATTTTCTGTTTGCTTGCCCTGAATATTCTTTTGCTAATTTGACAACTATGTTCCATTTCTATTCATTGGTAGTTCCTCTTGTCATTATAAGACACACCTTATGTTTACTTTCTCCCTCTCTGTTTCTGAAGATCATTAAAATATATGCCTTTTTTTCAAATTGAGAATGCTTTGGTCTGTTTTCATCTCCCTTTGATTTTTTCCTCTCATGTGGAGTTTCAGTTCTGAATTTTTGTCACTAGACTATTTTATTTTAATTTTTAGTTGTTGTTAACTTATAGACTCATACATTTATTAATGTGTTTTCTCAATCTTTAACTTTCTATGAGTCAGTGACTTCCAAAATTCATGTCAAATTTTTTGAGTGCATTTTTTCTAAAAGTACTTGGAAATGGAGAATCATTCTTTATTTCAATAAGTTTATTATTTGTAATTATGTACTTGATAAAATGATATTCCAATTGGGTATGAAATTGTGGGCTCAAAGTTCTTATTTATTCTTAGCAGTTTCCAAATATTATTTCATGCCTTTTCCATTTACTGTGTTCTTTTTGTACGTAAACGTTTGTGCTCCCTGGATGCATTCAACGTTTTGCAATTGTCTTTGACATTTTAAAATTTTATTAAACTATGTCTATTTCTGTGTATGTGTGACTCTGTTATCTGTCCTGTTTGGCTCTTTATAAAGCCTTTCAATTGGAGGTTTCATGACTCTTTAATTCTGAAAAATTATCTGACATTATTTTTCAAGTATTTTTCCTTTTCACATTTTTTTCAAAACCTTTACCCATTCCTTCTGACAGGTCTTTTAAATAAGTATAAAAGCAAGTATTTCATTCCTACTTACCTTTTTCTTTTTGATACATCATGTCCATCTCTTTATCCCAGATGTGTTTAGAAGAATTTTTTGGCATGTTGTATCAGTAAGTGGTGCATTTCCTAGCCAGAAACATTCTTCTATTCAGTGTCTCCACTGACTTTTTTATTTGAAAAATTATGTATTTTTTTCGTAACTATGGTTGATTCTTTTTAAAAAAAGACAAATGTTTTTGTTTTGTATTTCCAATGCAGCCTTTTATCTCTGTAGAGGCAGTTATTATGCTTAAATTGTATTATTTTGTCTGGGCCATTAATTCTGCTTTCTGTGGTGTAGATTATTCAATTTGTTATTTCTCTTTCATAATGCTTGGAACTCATAAAGTTTTATTATATAAATATACAGATATTCACTATATACCCATGGAGGCTCAAACACCCTTGGGATTTTTCATCTCATCAGTTATTTTTATTTTAATTTTCAACTATTAATAGTTGTTATCAGTTACTATTTCCTTGGCTGGTATTCTGTATCTGGAGTGAGGCAAAAGCCCAGGATCCTCCCCTATTCTTGCAGTTGCATTTGGGGAACAGATTTTTATGGTTTATGATGGTTTATCTCAGGGAGTACCATTTATGATGTTGTAGTCTTGGCTGCTGCTTTTATTTGACCGTCATACTGGCCCTCTGATTCCAGGAAATTAAGTTTCGTGAACAGAGTTTGAGAATGTATTGGGGCACCAAGAGCTTATTTTTTCCTCCCAACTAGTTTTCTGTATTCCTCTGATCTACCTTGTTTTGAGCAATTCTGGGTGGCTTTGCTGTTTCTTGACCTTCCGTGTGAACAGGACAAGCAACTATTATCCGAGATCAGACAGGGAAGAGAAAAGGACCCGGGAATAGTTTCTCTCAGAGAGTCCCTGCCAGTGGCGCTTTGCTCCCTTTGTTTCTCCTCCACAGAGAACCAACAATCTGTATTTCTGTGAACGTTCCTACTAGACTTTGCGTGATGTTAGTCACTCGGTCATGTCCGACTGTTGCGACCCCACGGAGCCCGCCAGGCTCCTCTGTCCATGGGATTCTCCAGGCAAGAATACTGAAGTGGGTTGCCATTTCCTTCTCCAAGACTTTGTATTTAGTTCTGATTAAAAAAAAAAAAAAATCAACCTTTTATTTCTGTTCATAGCCAGGGTTGACTCCCAAATGCAGAAATAGTGTCTTGAATTCAGGTATTTTTTTTAAAAAAGAATTGTTTGCTTATCTCTCATCACACTTTTCCTGTTGTTGTTGTTTTTTTCTTTAATTTGGCTCTTTTATGTAAACAGCCAAAATTTTGTTGAACCTGGTTAAAACAAGATTTTAAAGCTCATTCATTATTAAACATTTTATGACACTATCAGTCAGAGTGTTTAACAAGAAATACAGTTTAACTCAGACGGCCAAAATGAGAAGTGTTTATTGGAAGTACTACAGCTGAAGAGGTAACGTTGGGGTTTGAGCAAATAGAGATTGGTTGGCCCCCAGAGGTAGAAATACTGGGAAGCCATTACCAGTGCTAGGCCCAGAGAGACAAGGGAGGAAAGAAGTTCAACTGGAATCCAGTGAGAACTGGAAGCGTGCAAGAGGGAGGAACTTAGGGGGGAACTACCACCATCACGGAGGGACGCAGCTACAGCCAGAAAGGTTGTGCTGAATTCAGAAGGGAGGGAGGAAATGACAGCCTTTCTTCTTCCACACTCCTGTTTTGTGCCAATGCCAACACTGGGCTGAACCCAAACAGAAACCAAGGTGGGGAAGGAGTTTGGAGGAATAGTCCAGAGAAGCAACTTGTAGAATATGGGACAGGTCAGCAAAAGTTTGCTACTGTTTCTGTTTTTCAGGTAGATGTAGGAAGAGGGTAAATTGAGTATTAGCAGCATTTCAGCCTTTCTGCACTTGTATTTGTTGGCCCCAAACAAATAGACTGTCCGATATTTCTGTACCAAAGATGGGTTTATTTGAGATCATTAGAGAATTGCAGTTGAAGGTCTGCAACAATGGCAAGCTCCCTGCACATCTCCACACAGCAAGGAAAGGAGAATACTATTATCAAAGGGAAAAAGGGATTGAGAGGGCGATAGCAAGCAGTGTGTGTTTAAGTCACATCTGTAGTGTCCGACGCTTTGTGAATCAATGGACTGCAGCCTGCCAGGGTCCTCTGTCCGTGGGATTCTCCAGGCAAGAATACTGAAGTGGGTTGCCGTGCCCTCTTCCAGGGGATCTTCCTGACCCAGGGATCGAACCCATGTCTCTTACGTCTCCTGCGTTGGCAGGCAGGTCGCTTACCACTAGTGCCACCTCAGAAGCCTCAGTGGCTGAGTCCTTGCAAGGAAAGGAGAGGAGACTTTCTTCTTGTTGGGTTCTGCGCTCAAGGGAGGGTGGGAGAGCTCATCCTTCTGCTTTCCCAATTCTATTTAATTGAGGTTTCTGTTTATTGTTACATATAGTATCATTGTTGCTTTGCAGATTTCAAAATGAATGCTGTGTTGGAGAATTCTGGTGGTGGTGTCATGAATATCCTTCTGCAGCTTCTTCCCCTGGAAATTTTTTTTAAATTCTTAAATTTTAAATTTTTTAAAATTAAATTTTTTAAATTTAAAAATTTTTAAATGTTTTAAATGTTTTAAAATGTCTTATTTTCAAAGGGAGGAAAGAAGGGAGGAAGGGAGGGAGAAAGATGGAATATTTGATGAATGAATAAATGAAGAGCAAATAAGCAAATGTTTGAGCTTAGAATTCTGATGGAAGACTAACTATAATTTTTTATTAATAAACAATAATGCTGTTGCTCGTAAAAATAAGTAACCTAGTATAGAGTATCTTGGCATGGATAAGGTCAAATACGACTATATTTGTAATTTAAAGTACATGATTCTATGAGCCATGAATTCATAGAAACTGATCTGCAAACTTCAGTTAATGACCTCGGTTATCTGTCAATAAGAAGAGAGGGAGAGGTTATGAAACTTGAGGCGCCGCGCCGCCCGGGGCTGGGGGCGCCCGCTCCCTCACCCAGGACCGGGCCGCCGGCGCTGACAGGTGCCCAGGGCCGCCGCCGCGCCGAGAGCCGGCGCGCGCGGGGAGGGGCTGTAGCCTCGCCGCACCCTCGCCTGTCAGCCAACGGCGCCGGCGGGAGCGAGCGCGGGACGGCGGGCGCGCGGGGCGGGAGGCCGGCCGTGGTCCCCGGCGTCCGAGTGCCCGGCGAGCCGCCCCGACCCGGCTGGTCCGCCTGCGACCGCGGGGGCGGGGGCCGAGCTGCCGGGCGCGGGGGAGCGGGGCCGGGAGCCGGCGGTTGGCGGGACGCGCGCTCCGTGCCGGCGCCCGGCCTCGAGCCCGCGCCCCCCTCGTCCCCGCGTGCCCGAGCCGCTGCGCGGTGCAGTGTGGGGAACGGCTGGGGTTGGCCGAAGCGCGCACAGTGGAGTTTTAATGTCTGCCGCGTTGGCCACGGCGTACTGAGGAGAGCGACCGAGAGAGGAGCGGAGCGTCTCGGCCTCCCACCTCCAGGCGGCTCTGAGTGCCCGGACGGCGGGTCCGCGCTCCGCCCCTCCAGTCCCCGGCAGCGGTGGGCGAGTGGGGACCGAACCCCCGGTTCTCCACGATCCCGCTGGCCGGGGCCGTTTCCCCAGAGCGGAGAGGTATCTGCCGCGCCTGAGATGAGTCAACTGTCGTTTCGGGCGCGGGCGCTAGACGCCTCGAAGCCGCTGCCGGTTTTCCGCTGTGAGGATCTGCCCGACCTGCAGGAATACGCCTGGATACGCCGGGCCGCGCCGCAGATGCCCACCGGAATGGAGATGGAGGAAGGGGCACCTACCTGAGGTAGGTCACCCTACCCTGAGGGCGTAAAGGTTTCCATAAAAATTGCAGAAACTGCAGAAGCAGAACCATATCTCCTATGATGGTGGCAGTGAGGGAAACGTCCTCTCCCTTGCAGAATAGCTACATCACAGTTCCTGGAGGGTTTCAGATATAAAGAATGTTGATAGAACAGGAGTTCATACCTTATATACAGGAAACACATGATGTGTTCTCTGTAGTGTTGAACAATAATAATGAGGCAGGCGTTCAAACACATATTCACAGACAAATAGGAGAAAATGAAATACAAAATAATGCCTGTTTGCCCCACGCCCCAACATAAACAGAAAACAAAAGCAAAATTCCTGAGTCATTTCCTTCGTAAGAGGAATTGTTGTTATTTAAGTCAGTCAGTTGTGTCCAACTCTTTTGTGACCCTATGGACTAAAGCCCACCAGGGTCTTCTGTCCTTGGGATTTCCAAGGAGTGGAAATGGGTTACCATTTCCTTCTCCAGGGAATCTTCTTGAGAGAGCTGATCAAGACCTGGGTTTGATCCCTGGGCTGGGAAGATCCCCTGGATCTTCAAACCTGTGTCTCCTGCATTGGTAGGCAGATTCTTTACCACTGAGCCTCCAGGGAAGCCCACGTAAGAGGAATGGTCACATCCAAATCATTTAAAATTTATCTCAGTCCTGTCAAGAAGGTATTACTATATACAGGAAACAGATGACAAATTGAGCACAATAGGCCCAGCTATTTATCCTTAGTCTCTCAGCCCGTAGGGGGACGAACTCTGCTTCAAACTCTGACTCCCAGACCCCAGATTGGTTCTTCTGCCAACCCAAGTTGCTGCTATCAAACTCTGTCTGGGAGCAAACAAATTCAAGGATACATGGTCAAACAAAAGCCAAACAAAACACTAGGATCGCCTCTTCTTGTGTAGATTTGTGTCCCTAGCAACAAAAAAGAAGAAACTAAATTATAATTACATTAATTTTCTCTGAAGGAATAAACAGAATTTTAAAACCATGTAATTAAATACATCAGTGTAGCTATCTGGCCTAACCACCAGAGTGGAGCTTAAACCAATCTATCCATTCTGCAAAGCAGAGGCTGCCAGCCAATAGTGTCTCAAAGGAATGGAACAAATATTCGGTTTGGTCATAAACATTGTAGTTTTGAGATCATGGGGCTGATGTGGATCCTTAAAAAAAAATGCCCCCTGAATATTTTACATTTCTGTTTTTGACAAATGACAGTTATTTTGTAACTTTAATGTTTACCTAACTTAACACTGGGCTTCCCAGATGGTCCTTTTGGTAAAGAACCCACCTGCCAATGAAGGAGACTTAAGAGACATGGATCCTGTCCCTGGGTTGGGAAGATCCCCTGGTGGAGGACATGGCAAACCACTCCAGTATTCTTGCCTTCAGAACCCCGTGGACAGAGAAGCCTGGCAGGATACAGCCCATGGTGTCACAAAGAGTAAGATACAACTGCAGTGACTTAGCACGGACACAACTTATACTGAAAGAAATTTGAAAACTCTGAAAGTGAATCGGATATCTGACAGAACACTACATTACAGTTTCATTTTTGTGCCAGTGCACCTGTTTTCTATCACTGTGATGCTTGTATTATTTAAATGTTTATAAATTCAGAGGATAACGTATACCTGTAAAGCTATCACTTCCTTTAAATCCTACATTAGAGTGCACCTCAGATTATCACTGTAATACATCAGTTTCAAGACCAGAAAAAAGACATTTATATGAGTTACTGCTTTCTACCTTTACTCAGTATCTCCATTCACAACTCATTGGCTTCCTTGTTTTTATTCAGTGTTGAAAATTATTCTCTACACCCTGTTTCTTCACTTTACAATAAAAAAGAATAACCAGAAAATTAACTTCTTGATAAAACCCCCAATATCTTACTAATAACCCCGTGAAAATAATAAGAAATGTTCACTTTTTCTGAAAAGGATGCTATTTCAAACATGATAATATTTTGAAAACCATTAATAATAATAAATGGTTTCATGTGTACCCAGAGATTTTGATAGTATTACTTCTGAGAACCAACAAAGAAAAAAATAGTTAGGAATGAATTGACAATGAAAAAATAAGGGGGTACCTCCCGCTACGGCTGCGGATGCCACGGGCTAAGGCGAGGCCGGGCCGCGGACCATCCCTGGCTTCTCTGCAACGCCGTCTCAGACGCACGGGAAGGCTGAGAGGACTGAGCGCGACCACGTGTGCAGAGCGCATGCGCCTGGCCTCAGGCGGGCGCGAAATCAGAGTTGAAAACTACTTCACCTGCCCAACACTGTCTTGACTCAAAGTAGATGTGATCAGCACTGGAGAAAGATGCCAGCCCCAGCCACCACATATGAAAGAATTGTTTACAAAAATCCCTCTGAGTACCACTACATGAAAGTCCGCCTAGAATTTCAAGATTGTGGGGTTGGTCTGAATGCTGCACAATTCAAACAGCTGCTTATTTCAGCCCTGAAGGACCTGTTTGGTGAGGTTGATGCTGCCTTACCTTTGGACGTTTTAACCTATGAAGAGAAGACCCTGTCAGCCATCCTGAGGATATGCAGCAGTGGTCTTGTCAAACTGTGGAGCTCTCTGACCCTGTTAGGATCCTATAAAGGCAAGAACTGTGCTTTCAGAGTGATTCAGGTTTCTCCATTTCTCCTTGCATTATCTGGCAATAGTAGGGAACTAGTATTGAATTAAGTAATCTTCAATTTGAGAAAATATTCCTCACTCTCAAAAGTACTTTTTGGTGCCAGCATAATGCTTGGAGACTGAAGCAGCCCAAAAACTCCTGTCGTGGAATTTGAGAGTGCTGAAGATGTTCCCAGTAATGTCCAACCATCGCCTTTGGTGGGGTAGGCTTCACAGGAGAATCTGCCTGAGCCAAGCAGTGCTGAACAGGCAGCCCTTAGAGCACATGCACCTCAGAGTTGGAGACCGGGCTGAACTCAGGAGGGCCTTCACTCCGAGGGATGTGGCCACCTTCTCAGAATTAACAGGGGATGTCAATCCTTTGCACTTAGACGAAGATTTTGCAAAACACACCAGATTTGGGAAGACAATTGTCCATGGAGTTTTGATCAATGGACTTATTTCAGCTCTCCTCGGTACTAAAATGCCAGGGCCAGGCTGCGTGTTTCTTTCCCAGGAAATTAACTTTCCAGCCCCTTTATATGTTGGGGAAGTTGTTTTAGCTTCTGCAGAAGTGAAAAAGCTGAAGCGGTTCATTGCCATTATTGCAGTATCATGTTCCGTACTAGAAAGTAAAAAGACCGTTATGGAAGGCTGGGTTAAAGTTATGGTCCCAGAGGCTCCCAAATCCTGAAATACGTCTTTAAAGATACAAATTCAGACATCAGTGTTGTTATTATTGAAAGCCTCTGGGGGAAATAGGGATTGCTATTCTTCAGCAAGGACAGGCTCATAGACCTGTACTGGGGGAGGGGAGCAGGTAGAGAAATGTTCCAGTGTCCACTTATGTTTCACTCCGGATTAAGTATATTCATCATCTATCTAGGTTTCCAACACTGAAAAAAAAAATAGGCAATTTCCTGGTGGTCCAGTGGTTTCACTTCCAGGGGCATGGATCCAATCCCTAGTCAGGAAAGTAGGATCCCACAAGCCATGTGGCACAGCACACGTGTACACATACACACACAAGTGAACAGAGGGGATCAGAGGTGATTCTAAGGTTGCACATTTGTTAACTAGGCTCCCATGAGGTGTCATTAAAAAAGAAAACAAAACTGAAAAAAGTGTTAGGAAAGTTATCATTTAGCTTAATGTTCTACTTTTAGGATTTCAAACCTAATTAGACTTGCATTCAGATAACACAAACCTACCTATATCTGTGTAGAATAAGAATTTACTAAAGTCACTGAGTTCATAAGTAGCAAGCATTTAATTATTAAAGGCAACGATGGAAGATAGGTCATCTTTGAACACCTATCTTTTAACACTAAATATTGTTAGATCCTGTTCTTCAGCAGTTTCTGAATCAGAGTTTATTATAATTTGTTACTGTTTACACCAAGATGGTGATTTATTGACCCTTCAGTGTCTCTTGCCCTTCAGATGGTTTTCCTGTCACTGGGGGAGGGCTTATGTGCATCTTTGGACTCAGTTCTGTAAGCTCTCTTGGTTTCATCTATAAAGCAGGGATAACGACTCCATACAGGAGTGCTGGAGATAACAGATACAAATAGGTAAGCACAAGGCCCAGCCTCTAAACAGTAGCTCGAACTAGCTAAACAGTAGCTAGAACAAGGCCCAGAACTCTAAACTTCTGCTCTTGTCATTCTCGTCTATGAGCAAGGTTACAGGTTTCCTGAGTTTGGAGCTACCTGGCCAAAAATTAAAGAACAGATCAGTCTTTCAGGATGTCAGCCAATCTCCATTGGTTTTCTAAACCTGGAATAGATCTTGAGTGCAGTTTCTATTTTAGCAATCCAGGTGATTTTCTCTCTCCCTTGAAAATATTTTGGGGGTCCCTACCAATTATATAAATAATACATGCTTTTATTAAAAACTGTAAGATAAAAAATTGAAGGAACACTGTGGTGGCCAAGTTCTTAATTAAGAGTTGAGGGGTGTTAGAGAGGAAACGTGCCTAATTTGTTATTACTGGTCATCCTGTACACAGCCAGCACTATTAAGACAAGAATCTATAGTAGAGCATACAGGTAGTCCATCTGTGCTCTGTGGCTTTAGATGGTAGCTCAGACCACAGCTGGTTGCTTTGATCAGGAAGATAAGATCAAATTAATTGGTTGCATCTACCCACATTTCCTGGAAAAAAAAAAATGTTCTCTTCCTGCTGCTGGATCAGTAACTAGATTTTTGTTTGTTTGTTTACATCAAGTGAGTGAAGTCGCTCAGTCTTGTCCGACTCTTTGCGACCCCATGGACTGTAGCCTACCAGGCTCCTTCGTCCATGGGATTTTCCAGGCAAGAATACTGGAGTGGGTTGCCATTTCCTTCTCCATGTTTACATCAAGGGGATTCTTAAAACAGACTACTAGAAAGAATTGTTCTCATCACTAGAGGGCAGTGTTGTGTATGAATGAGTAGTTTAATATTGTACCACATTCTAGTTTGTGTTGGTAATGTGGAAAATACCAAAATCGGGGTGCAGAGCAAGGATGCCATTATCATGAGTTTCAGAATGGGAAGCTTATACAGGTTCAGGTTCACCTGAAGAAGGTGTATGTTTAGGCGAAACATGATACATGCAGATAGTTGGGTGTCACATTAGAAAATGGAGAACTTGAATCACAAAATAAACACTTGATGCTGAGACCATCAAAAAAAAAAAAAAAAAAAGAAAGAAAAAATAAAATGATTTAAAATTATTTCTGGGATTTGTTTGTTCTTTTATCTCATTTGCTGTATATGTTTTACAGACCATGATATAATCAAGTGGGTTTGGGATAGTTTCCCCTAAAGATAGGAAACAGCTTTTTCAAAATACTGTGTTTTGAATCTGTTCTACAAATTTCATGAAGCCATCATAGATGCAGTGAAAACTGTGTGAACTTTGAATTCAGAAATGGGCTTCTCTGGTAGCTCAGCTGTGAAAGAATCCACATGCAATGCAGAACCTGGTTCAATTCCTGAGTCAGGAAGATCTGCTGGAGACGGGATAGGCTACCCACTTGAGTATTCCTGGGCTTCCCCGGTGGCTCAGCTGGTAAAGAATTCTCCTGCAGTGCCGGAGACCTGGATTCTATCCCTGGGTTGGGAAGATCCACTGGAGAAGGGAATGGCTACCCACTCCAGTATTCTGGCCTGGAGAATTCCATGGACTGTATAGTCCATGGGGTTGTGCAGAGTGGACACGACTGAGTGGCTTCCACTTATTCACTCATAGTTTTCTTATAAGAAGCTGAAACCCCACTGATACCCCCTTCCTCCTTAGAAATCTCTCTTTGCTGTAGAATCTGTTGAATGAATGAGCATAATGAATTATATCAAATTAAAAAGAAAAACGTAAACTGGAAACACTTATTGAGTGATGGGGTCACTAGGATATAAAGAAGAAGTGTACGTTCAGTCTTTAATATTCATGATCCATTCTCTCAGGTCTGCTGTGGTGTATCCATGTATAAAAAACACACTTAGATAAGACTAATTAATAGCTCAAATTTGTTAGGATCCAAAAATGTTTGTAGTAGATATATGATAAAAAATTGTGTCAGAGATTCTCAACAAAATATTAGTAAATTAAATTCAAATAAGTATAAAAATAGTTATATATCATGACCAAAATGGAGTTTGTCTCAGTTATGTGAGGCTAGTTTAACATTTGAGAATCAATTAATATAATCCATTCAAGACTAAAAAGGAGAAAAAATAAACACGTATACATACACGCAGAAAAGCTTTTGACAGCTCTCTGACCCCATACCACTGCGTTGGACGCGGGGCGGGAGCCCTGACTCGAGTCAGCAATAAACTTCCCTTTTTTTTTGCGAGTTGCATTGTCTTGGAATCCTTCTCTCTTCCCGCTCGGGGATTCGGACATTGGGCATAACATTTGGGGGCTCGTCCGGGATCCCTTGACTGGGGAAAGAGAACATTTCTAGGACAGAGGGGAAGGGTAGATATAGCACCGGTGCTCAGGCAGAACAGGAAAGTCCAGTATAAATCCGAGGCCCTGCTGGGAAGCAGGAAGGTATCTGGCACAGGAGAAAGCTTTCCATAAATGGGGAACGGATTGGACGTTCCAGCCGGCGCAAGACCGAGGCCAGCAAGCGCGCTGGAAGGCTGCCGGCTCTGTGGGAAGGGGAGTACCTCTCCTGATCCCGAGTCTGGTGAACAGTGGACGCCATTCGCTTATCTCAGTAATCTATCTTTGGATGAAGATCAGATGCCTCATGACCTGCAACCAGGACTGGAAAAAGACATAATTTAAGGGACTGTCTCCAACCTGGATGGAAAGACTTTGTATCAGGAGAAACTACACTACACCAGGATGAGAAGACAGCGACATCAGAGGCAGACAGCTTGCCCAAGATGCTAGACCTGATTCGTATGATCATTTATAATGTTTCCTTGACTTCTTAGACCTTTGCTTATAAATCAAATGCTTTTCTATCATAGGCCTGATTCTATGTTAGTTTTAAAAATCAATCCAATTGTTGGGTTTGTGGCCAATTACCTGTATCTAGTTCTGGGTTACCTTGGTAAATTTCTCTACTACAAGATTCTAAGTGGTTGGCCCTGAGGAAATTTACTTAAAAATATATATATATATAGTCATATTCAGGTCACTGTGATACTACCAGATGGGATCCCCTCACTGGGTCAATTAATAATGCCTACTCTGACTCTGGCTATAAATTTGAGCCTTTTTCTATTCCTCAAGCTCAATCAGAGTAACAAGAAAAGTTTTAGCAAAAGAAAAAGAAATCTCCCACAATTATGAGATAGATTTATATAGATAACACCAGGCTATGGTAATTTAGGTTTAAAGTCTCCTCTGTGTTGAAAACAATTATATCATGCTAAGGATAATCAGCCTAGTAACACTAGAAAACTGGGCTACGTGCCTTATAGATGGTGGTGCCAATGTATAATTTCCCTGAAAGGTAAAGATTCGTACAGAGTAGACTAAGTCAGATGACCTGGGATATACTGGGCTACATCTAATGGAAGCTCTTAAGTCTTACTTGTGACTTTACAAGTACTGCTGGCTATGTTCTTTGTATTTCACCTGTTTTACAAAATTGCTATTTCTTACAGTGCCAAATGTGTGACTGAGGCCTCTCATAAAATAATATATAGTTCCCTATGAGATCGATGATGATGGCAATGTAACTCTAGATATGAGAAAAAGCAACAAGAGGGAATGTTTTCCTGGACCAAGAGGCTAGTAAGACAGGTGGTCCAGAGAATTTTGGATACTGTTTTGTGGCCTAGTCCAGTAACAGCACATTGAGTGGCCTGTCAACAAAATTTTTGCCAAAGCTGAGAATGGACATTCTCAGCACTGTGGGATAAAATGGTCATGAAATGCCCCCCTCAAAGTCATGGTCAAGTTTGTGAGCAGAAAGGGGCTCTGCCAACTGAAGACTGACACTTGCCATCTACATCTACAGAGATTATATCATGGCCACTGCAACTGCTGACTTTCAACGGCCCTGAAAGGAGTTCAGGGTGAAGATCAAGAATGAGGCATTCCGTGCTCTGGGGAAAACTGGCAAAACAGGCCTTCAGATAGTTAAATCTTTTCAAGAGATTTTGAGTCCCAATTCTTGCATCTTCTCATACCTAGAGAAACACTGACATCATTAATGGTGCCACCTGCTTTGGCTATTAAAAATTTTTTACAGTTAAAAGTCAAAATAGAGTACTCAGCTATGGTTCAGACATCCTGAAAAATGAACAGATGTTACTATGGGTGTAATTTCAGATTAGACATTGTATTGCTAAACACTTGAATTTTCTGAGTCGTGTCAGGCTTAGATGCCACCATTCTCAAAACAATGTCTGCTAAAAGCTAGTAACTTATACCTTGCTTTTTATAAAACTAGGTAACTGGCCACCTGGCTAAAAGTCTCCCCGAAGTGCCAGTTCCAGACTGGGTTTCAGGCCTGTTCTTCTAAAAAGAAAGAGATTTATTTTGTCTATTAAAATTCCAGTTATCCCTCCTCCAGCTACTACTAACTGGGTATGTTACAACAAAATGCAGACCAAGGGATTGAGATTTTAATCATACAAGGCTCAGATCTAGGACTTGGAACTCAGGGAAGGTCAAAGAGGCTGAATAAAGCCTATATTTTAGAGTACAGCAGATCTGTACTCCAGAGTCGCCACCCCACAGAGTCCTGCTCAGTTTTAATTTAGAGAATAGGGCAACTATGACTGTGATAACTTTCTGTCAAAATGGGGCATAGGACTGCCTCAGCTTGGAGAAGGGACACGGAATTGGAAGTATTCCTGAGTTCCAAGGGGTGGATTCAAACAATTGCTAATCAGAGAAGGGAAGAAATACAAAAACAGAGGGGAAACAATCAAATGGTGGTACAGCCTTGAGAAGGGTCCTGATTCCTACTCAAAGAAATATGCATAACAATGTCTTTTGAGTTCTTCTACAGAACTGGAGCCCCCACCCAGGTGGAAGATGGTAACTTCAGACTAAACACAAGATTCCTAGAACACAGCTCTGTTGCTTGACCACCAGCCAATCATCCCAGCGGTGCCTCCTGTTTCTGGGGGCCAGTGATGACCATCCTGTTAGGTCTCCTGTTTGGCCCCTATCTATTTTATCTCTGAGAGGCGCCAACAGTTTCAAACTAAGTTGCTGTTATTACAAGAGTAAATGCTGGTTTCAGATATAAAACACCCCAACTTAGGTCAGGTATAGAGAGACTTCTGCTCTGCTAGGCAGGCCCACGCCCAGGCACAGCAGGAAGAAGTTACAGAAGAAAGAGCCCTCCGCCCCAAATCCCAAAAAGCATCTTGAGTATGAAGTCTCTCAAGGGGGAGTTGTTAGGAAAAACACACTGCCTGTCCGTCCACCTAATGTTACTCAGATCTCAATATTCGACTGTCCCCACAGATGATATAAAAGACCCATGATTGGGCCTTCCATAGAAACAAAGACGGGGGGAATGTGGGGCTGCTGGGGCTGGCAGGCGGCCCGGACCTGGGTGTCGGTTTCCCGTGAAATGGTGGGATTCCCCGCCCCCATCAGGTAACGTGGAGCCAGCCAATCAACATGCACCTAGCAAGAAAAAGGGAACCTATCAGGGGAAAGCTGAAAAGCCCGCGGACGCCCAAGTTTGAAAAAAAGCCCGCAAAGGTTTGGGCCAATAAGATTACTTTGCAAACATGTAACCAATCGGCTTAAGCCAGCTACCAACTGCTTATGCACACCTTATAAATTGGGTAACAGCTTGAGCTCAGTGCTCTCTGACCCCGTACCACTGCATTGGACGTGCAGCGGGAGCCCTGACTCAAGTCAGCAATAAACTTCCCTTTTTTTGCGGAAAAAAAAAAAAAAAAAAAGAAAAGCTTTTGACAAAATCCAGAGGGCACGC